TGGAACTCGCTTTGGAGACCAAGCTGGCCTCGAACTCACAGAGATCCACCTGGCTCTGCCTCCCGAGTGCTGGGATTAAAGGCGTGTGCCACCACCACCTGGCCAGGCTACATTCTTTACCCACAACATTAACTCCAATGTTATTAACTCCAGAAGTATAACTTGAAAAACACATGTTTTAAAAAAATCTATTTAGGACTGGAGATATGGCTCAGTGGTAGAAAGCTTGCCTAGTGTGCGTGACTGCTTGGCTCAACTTCCAGCAAAACACACACACACACACACACACACACACACACACACACACACACACACACACACACACTTACAAATACAACCCATAAACTTAGAGAGTCTCGATCACATTGTAAATTATCTTTTTAATCTGTAACTGACCATCAGCGATGTAGTACATTTCAACAACTTAGTGGTTCACCAAGTCTTATTTTGAAAATTATTTCCTGGTGTAGGGGCAGGAAGTATGTTTTTCTGCTTTAAAGAATGATGCATAGTTTAAGGAAACAATTCTAGTTGATAAGGAGGTGGCCTTATTTATAGAGAAACTAAAGTTAGACATATTTGAAATCACAGAATTACAAAACTATCATTTTGCAACATCTCACAAAACTGATTCAAGTGCTGATAGGAAGCAGCATTTTGTTCATCGGATGGAAGGTTGGCTGAGGGAGTGGGCATATGGTGTAAAGAACCCACAAAATTCTCCTTTTGTACAAGTACTGAACTACTACAAAGCACATGCTGGCAATGAGGGTGAAGATGAGGGTCACCCTAACCTGACCAACTATGGCAACCTTGTGACAGGAGAGCGCCTGTCTCCTTATGAGAGAAGGTAAAGTGTCTAGTGTTATTTCTGATGCATCCTAGCCAAAGCTATCTAACAGTAGTCTGATCCAGTGTCATAAGAGCTCAGATGACAGAGCAAGCTAATGCACACCACGTGGAAGTAATCTTACAAACAGTGAGACTATGAAACAACCAGCATGGTCTCCTACTGAGACTGCCATGAGTCTAGATAATCTAAGACTCTAGATTATAAGAGAATAAGGACACAGAACTGTGATGTGTGGTTCTAGTTTGAGTCCTAGGGAAATCTGAAGACCATCTAGGCAAGAGGTTTTCAAGAAGTATAATTCTTTTTTAAGCATGATAACATTAACTAGAACAGAAGGAAATGTCCTTCGATAAAGACAATGTAGTAACAGCCATGTGATGGGGTATTGCTCATTGTAAAGTAGAGCTTCGCTACATACATTAGTTCTAAGAGTTCTTGACGTGCATGAAATAAAAAATGTCAATTAACAGCAGCCAGATACCAAGCACCACATACTGTATTACTGCATTTTCATGAGCTATCCAGGAAGGGAAAACCCCACAGCAGTAGGGTAAAGAAGTGCCCTACGGTAAGGTAAGGTAAGTAAATAGAAACTTGAGTTTCTATTGCTGCAACAAAACACCATGACCAAAAGGCAAGTTGGGGAGGAAAGGGTTTATTCAGCTTACACTTCCACAGCAGTGCTCACTATTGAAGGAAGTCAGGACAGGAACTCAAGCAGGCCAGGATCCTGAAGGCAGGAACTGATGCAGAGGCCAGGAGAGAGCTGCTTTCTGGCTTGCTCTTCTAGAACTCAGGACCACCAGCCCGGGGATGGCAACACTCACAATGGGCTGGGCCCTCCCCATCAATCACTAGTTAAGAAAATGCCTTACAGCATGGTCTTATGGAGACATTTTCTCAGTTGAGGTTCCTCCTCTCAGATGACTTTAGTTTGGGTTAAGCTGGCACAAATGAGCCAGCACAGTAGCAGTGGGTAAGGGGTCAGAGACTAACCTGAGAGGGGCCTGAGGGAAGGGACAGATGACGACAGTTTCAGAATTTGATAGTGGAGACAGTTCCATACCATTAAACAGCAACACCACCACACTGTATACCCGAAATAACTTATGACTATATGAATTACATGCCAATAAGGTTGTTAAAATCTCAAGTTTCCTGTTTTTAAAAGCCATACATTGTTTGGAGTGCCAGGATACCTGTGTTTATTTTTAAGTAGTTCAGTAATAAGACAATTAAAGAGTTAGATTCCCTTCTGCATACTTTTCTGATGGAGTACAAAATGGTAAGACCTCTATGGACTATGAAATATACCTTTTTGTTGATGGTCAATTGTGTATGTCTGAAATGATGTGTTTTTACAACATAATCCACTGCAACACTGCTAGAGAAAATAATTATAAAAACCCAAGTCACCACCAATGAGGGCATATGACACATGAATCCAAATGTGGAATATTACACAGCTATTAAAAGGGGAACAAAAATAGCAAAGATATTCTGTATATATGGGTATGAAAAGACTACTAGACAATATGAAGAAATTAGAGGTGGAATAAACAATACTAACACTTTGTACATTTATTTCTCCTGCACGCATGTGTTTGTGTGTGTTCATGTGCTCACATACACATGGAAGTCAGAGGACAATTTGTGGGGGTCATTTGTCTCCTATCACGTAGGTCTGGTTTGTCAGGCTTGGTGGTAAGGGCTCTTATCTGCTGAGCCATCTCACTGACCCTATCATACCAACTTTTGTAGTAGAAGGAACAGAAATTTTAAAATATATTTATGTGTGTGTGGTGGTTTAAATGAAAATGGCCCTCATAGGGAGTGTCACTATTAAGAAGTGTGCCCTTGTTAGAGTAAGTGTGGCCTTGTTGGAGGAAGTGTGTCACGAGGGCAGGGTTTGAGGTTTCGGATGCTCCAGCCAGGCCCAGCGTCTTTCTCTTCCTGCTGCCTGCTGATCTGGATGGAGAAGGCTCAGCTCCCTCTCCAGCACCATGTCTTCTGTGTACCGCCATACTTCCCTCTGTGATGATAATGGACTAAACTAACGGGTAGATTGGAAGACAGGTGAAAGCAATACTTTCTAATGTCACAAGCTGTAAATGCTTTAATAAATTGCTTTACTTATTCTTTTTTTTTTTTGGTTTTTCGAGACAGGGTTTCTCTGTGTAGCTTTGCGCCTTTCCTGGAACTCACTTGGTAGCCCAGGCTGGCCTCAAACTCACAGAGATCCGCCTGGCTCTACCTCCCAAGTGTTGGGATTAAAGGCGAGCGCCACCACCGCCCGGCAACTTTACTTATTCTTTATAAATATATATACTGTTTGGTTGGTTGTGTTTTGTTTTGTTTTGGAGCAGTCTCACCTTGTAGCTCTGGCTGTCCTGGAACTCACTATGTAGACCAGGTTGGCCATGAACTCATAGAGACGCATCTGCCTCCCAAGTGCTAAGATTAAAGGCGTGTGCCACTAGGCCTGGCTATGACTTTTTATATTTATCCAATGCACTATGATCATGCTCACACCCTATTACCCTCTGTTACCCCCTCCTACTTCTGCTGATCCCCTCTTCTTCCCAACTAGTCTACCTCCTCTTGCTTCTTTTTAACCCACTGAGTTTAATTAGGGCCACATTATGAACATGGGTAGGGTGTTATTTACTGGAATGTGGGCAACTTAGCCGGTGGTTACACCACTGAAGAAAATAACTCCTGTAACCGCTCCCCTTCCTGCAGTAATATTAACTGCCAAAAGCTCTTCCTGGAAGGGTAGGGCTTTATGAGACCCTTCCCTATCCATGATGAAATGGGCCTGATGTGCAGGCATCTATAGCATAAGTTCATGATGGCAGGTGCCATGTCCCTTATACCTAACCTAGCCTTCAGCTCTCACAAGCTTCCTGCCCTCTTCCATAATGCATGCCAGTATCTCAATCACCATACTCACGGAAGGAATTGGCATCTCAGTTACTGAGCCCAAAATGTCCACCCTCTTCCACTTTCTGCTCATTCTCAGATGCAGCTGCCTCTAATCCACAGATGTAGCAGTCTTAGAAGTGCCTGGAACAAAAACATCTGGAAGTAATTCAAACAAACCTAAACTACTTTTTTTCAACGGAGGGTTTCTCTGAGATTTCAACATGTATTCTCTAAGGATATAATATGCAATGTTTATCAAATTATTTACACAATGAATCTATTTTAGCTGTCAGTGTCTCTGGTAGGGAGGAAACCATTCAGAGAAATCTGGTCCTGGAAAACCTTTATAGACATCCCATTGAAATGGTTTCTATTAATTATTTTAAGTAATGGTTTGAAGTAAATACAAATTAACTCAATTACTTTGATGTGTTTCAATAAAAATTAAACATTTATTTTCCCTGTGACACAGAAAGTCCATTCTAGTAGAACACTTACATTAATGTGTGTGTACAAAACACTACCAAGTAATGTGTAAGTGGGTCCAAGTCCTCATGAATGAAGGATCTTCCCAAAATAAACAAGGATCCTAACAGCACTCTATTTAGGCCAACTCCAACAAGGGAACCACCCAAATACCCTCTTGCAGTTGGAGATAAACACCAACAGCATTGTTACTCACAAGGAACCAACTGCTACCTGGTGTGCTGTCCCAGGGACCAAGAAGAGCAGACACTGTGCTTCCCAGCCACACAAGGCTGAAGAGCAGACAGTGGTAGAACACAGACTGCCGGTGCCCCAGGGGAAGAAACAGATGTGAGAGGGCTGAGGGGATGCTCTAGTGTTCTGTTCACGCTCTGGTTTTTCATCTCCGTGGGGCTACAAGAGAGTTCTGTCCATTATTTCTTCTTAGAACTCGTGTCCTTTTTTGTAAGTCACACCTGAGAACCTAGCAGGTCATTCTACCTAGCTGTCACTGTCACAGATGTCTCCACAAACCAGCTAACTCAGGGCCCAGCTATGGTGACAGGTGCACCAAGTTGTTCCAACCAGTTCCCATCATGAGAGCGTCATCAACGGATGTGCTTTCCTCCCAACTCAACTGGAGGAAACAGGGCTCAGGCAGAGCCATAGGCTCACACGAGGTGGAAAAATTCAAATAGGCCTCTGCATGTCCCATTTCGGGGACAGTAGACCTCAGGAGTCTGCTGCCTGACCACTATTTCCTACCCTCAGAGGCCCTACAGACCAACTGTGGGACATGGTTCTGCATTTCTTAAAGTAAGCCATGGTACACACAGTAAGCAGCCTTACAGCCTTTACGCATGAAAACTGAAAGTTTCCACTCTCAACCTGAAGTGAGTTATTAACAATAACTAATTTGTATAGATATATTTTATTTCACATCAAACATCCTGAGCCCTGTAAGGCTCACAGGGAGGAAGACAGGGAAGGGAATTAACAACTAAACCAGAGTACAGGCTTTTGTGCAGGAAAAAAAAAGCTGTGTAAGAATCAGGGTCCAGCATCGACTTCCAGGCTAGAGTAATTACAGGTAACAGTAGGTCAGGGAGACTGAAAGGTTTCCTTTGGGGGCCCATGGTTGGCCACTGCCGGGGCAGCCAGTAAGTCAGTTCAAGAATGTTAGGTGATAAACACCTCTTGCAGTCCACAGCGTAGACAGGGCAGGAATCGAGGGAAACATGTGACTGGTTCTGAAAACCAAACTACTTTAGTTTTGGTAGTTGTCATAGTTCAACCAAAATGGAGGTTTACAAACCATATGACATTCCCTCCTTGTTTTTATTAGATAGGTGAAAAAGAAGGTGTAGATGTCATTTTTGTAATTACCTTTTGCTGGACAAGGGCAGTATCCTAACCAGGAGGACTTGAGGCATCTTTGGTATCAGAAATTTTGAAAGAAGTGGCAGAGAGAGTGTTGTCCTTTTTCATGGCCTTCAAGCCAGCTACCTAACATCTTTCCTTCGAAATTTGAGACTCTAATGTCATTTAGGAGATGGACATCAGGTCATGTGGCTATCGCCAACTGACATGGGAGCCCAGGAGTCAAGGTCTCCACTCTTGTTGACTTCTATGCATTGGAGGAATGATCAAGGGGACAGAGATATATGGAATTTGACTGATGCAGGATCAACTCTGAGATGTGGTGTTTGACACGGTCTTAGTCTGATTTTGTGTAAGCAAGAGACACATTGGCAGAAATATCAAGAATATACAAAGGAGCCTTTTGTTTTGTTTTGTTTGTGTGTGTGTGTGTGTGTGTGTCTAAAATATGTAAATATTTTAAAAATATTTTGTTTGTAGTTAGAAAAAGTATCAGAGTCCTATAATCTGATTACACCCAAAGAGGATGTATTATTCTATCTGGCATGTTAGTGGGCCATTCTCGGGATTATTTAATAGGGAGGCCTTTAAGGCATGGATCATTTGTCTATATTAAAGTGTATTTTACACACACTCACACACACACACACACACACACACACACACACACACACATACATAATCAATTATTTTAATCTTTGGTTATACTTTCCTGCTGGATGTTTAAATTATAAAACATATATAAAATTTCTTTTTTCTTTCTTTCTTTCTTTCTTTCTTTCTTTCTTTCTTTCTTTCTTTCTTTCTTTCTTTCTTCTTTCTTTCTTCTTTCTTTCTTTCTTTCTTTCTCTTCCTTCCTTCCTTCCTTCCTTCCTTCTTTTTTTTAACTGTTATGACTGGTTGGATATCTGATCTCCATGGGTCACTTGAGCTTGAAAGGAGCCCTAGCTCAGAAAGAAAAGGGCACATGTGCCAGGCCCTGCAAAGGGTTAGCCACCTAGCACTGGTTGCAAATGGTACCTCCTTAACACAGATCCATTATGCCTATACCAACTCTCCTCTTGGCAAAGGGTGGCGGTCTCTAGGCCTTTTTTTTTTTTTTTTTTTTTTGAAAACCAGTTTTATAGTCTGCTAGGGATGAGTTGAGGCCTTGCTGACTGGGGCTTTTCCTGGAAACCATGCAGGCATCTGCTGTATGAACTCTCCTCTTTGCAGAATGTTCACTGCTTAGGACCCAAATTTCAGAGTCTCCATGGCCTCTCTGAACCAGAGGAAAGGTAACTTGTCAGAGCTTCAGGATCCTTTGAGAGATGTTCCCAAGTCACCTGGGACCTAGGTGACTTTGAAGGGCAATGTCAGAAACATTAATCCTTTTCTGCTGTCCACATAGGTACGGGTCCAAACATGGCTACTGAGCACCCAGGTCAGTTATGCCAGTCTGGTCATTTTATCTTTTGTGTAACATTTAAATAAAACTTAAACAAAATCAAACATTTTAAAACAATCTTGATTAGACATACATTTGTGTTCCTTTAAGCTAGTCCTTATAAATGCTACCTAAAGTAGATCAGTATCTTATGAGAACTCTATTTAGAGACTTGATTGAACTTTGGCCTTTAAAATTTTAATAACCTTTAATTATCATACACTTATCATCTCTAAATATCTTCCCTTACATATCTTAAGTAATTTATTCCTTTCATGGTTTGCCTAGGCTTCCCATCTTAACTTGGAACAAGGCATAATCATACAGAAATAATTTTTATTAAAAATATGTTTATTCCTACACCCTTTTCAAGACTTAATGTTGAGTTCAGAGAAGTCAGACTAGACCCAGGACCTTGAGCAAAAGCAGAGAAAAAGTGGGTCAAAGAGTACTTTGCCTAAGGCAAAGAAAAGCAAGCCTGGATGTCAGGTAGAAAGAACAGGCATTGCCCGGCAGTGGTGGCACACGCCTTTAATCCCAGCACTCGGGAGGCAGAGGCAGGCGGATCTCTATGAGTTCGAGGCCAGCCTGGGCTACCAAGTGAGTCCCAGAAAAGGCGCAAAGCTACACAGAGAAACCCTGTCTCGAAACCCCCCCCCCCCAAAAAAAAGAAAGAAAGAAAAAAAAAGAAAGAACAGGCATTAAGACACAGGGAGCCAGGGTCTCCAGTCTCCCATGGGGTATAGCAATCTCAAATGGGCTGTGGCAGCTGACTTCCCACTGGTGGTGGCCTGTCTAGCACCCAAGAACACCTTAATGTCAGGACTCAGCCTCTGTGTTTTTCCCTGTCTCAGCTCTGGGTCCCTGTGACTTTTTGTGGGCCCCCCAAGTCCTGCTATCTCCAAGAGCAAGCTCCCCAGTATTAGAGACACACAGCTGCAGGACTTGAGTTCCCTCCTCTAGAACACAGCAGGGACATTTATTTAAAACAACTGCCTCCCAAAGGGATGCTCCGTGGAGGTCTAGTAGTACCTCCCCCTTGGTTTGGTTACAGGAAACACACTGACCTTATCACCATAACACATGACCTCATCACAATAGACATACTCAGAAAACATTATGTGAGTATAATTTTTTTTTTTTTTGAAGTGCACTAGAGTTAGCAGGAGACAAACAGATATGGAACAAGAAAAGGTGACCTGAGGCATGTAGTCTGGAAACTATTTCCCAAGAAGGCACAGAAGTGCATTCATGGAGTGGAGTTGTAGGAAAAAAAAAAGCAAAGAACTACATAATCTCTCCCCAAAGAAGGTGAGTTCATATCTTACCACAAGGGAGAAGAAAGTCCACTCTAACCGGAAACACCAAAATAACTCAGTCTTTCCTCAGCTTCCAGCAGGTCCTTGGTTTTATAAGCCTCTGATGTGGTAGAAGTCTGTGAAAAAACCATGAGGGTTGAGGAAGTGTGCCCAGGGTCTCTGGCTTGCTGTCTTTATTATTAAGAGTATTTGTCCAAATGGTATTACAAAGAGAATTATTTTGTTATTTGATCTCACCCACCAAATAGATGAGACTATGAACAAGTCATCCAAGCACAGAGTCCATGGATAACGAGACTGAGCGCTCAGTGGGGAGGGGAGGTTTGTTTGGTTAAGTCAACAGGACCAGGACAAGGCAGAGAGATCACACAAGCATCTTTGTGAGTTTGGTCACACTTCTGTAAGTGACTGAACTCAGAGATTACAACTTATCCTAAAGTCTTAAGACATCAGTGAGTAGGGCAATGAACTCAGATCTAAACATAGTAAGGAATCCCAACTTAACGCCAAGAATTCTGGCACAGTCAGCAGGGCTCCTGGAGAAGTGAGGGGCTTACCAAGGGGATGGAATGAGATGCAGAGGTTCTGGTAAGAACATGAGTCCAGAAAGGAGGGACCAGCACCCCAGAGGGAAGCCAAGAGCCCAGTATAGAGCAAGGGCCACTAGGACTCTAACAGTATGGCAATGCCTAAGTGGCCTCAAGAATTTACACAGTAGGACAAAGCCAAGAGTGCCCCAGAAATCTAACAAATAGGGCAAAGCCTGAGTGGCCACTAAGAACCTAACGGAGGAACATGATGGTGGGGAGACCCAGCTACAAATGGCCATGGCCTGAGCATCTCTGAGGTGACAGAGATACTAAATAGGACAGTAAATGATAGAACAGGTGCCAGAGCCAGGTGTATTATAAGAGGCCAACTTTTGACTTTTAAGGAAGACATAGGGAAGACATCTGAAAGCAAAAACAGGTTTTAACAAGATTGCTACAGATCTCCTGAAAGTTAATCCCATTACATAGTTTTGAGTTTGGGTCACCAAAGTGTTAAGTCACATATAGAAGATAAGAAATGGGCTATAAAAAAAAAAACTAAGACAGCCCAAGATCATTTTAACTTTGGACTTGAACAGTTTTCCTCAGTATACCTGCTGTCTTAGTTACTACTCTATTGCTAGGAAGAGACACCATGACCAAGGCTACTCCTGTATGAGAAAGCACTTGACTGGGGACTTGTTTACAGCTTCAGAGGGTAGTCCATGGCAACATGGCAGAGAGCATGGCAGCAGGAAAGTGTGGAGATCGAGAGGTAGCTGAGAGCGACACCCTGATCTGTAGTAGGCAGAAAGACACAGAGGGACACAGAGACAGGTGGACACTGGGCCTGGCTTAGGCTTTTGAAACCTCAAAGCCCCACTCTTAGTGACATATCTTCTCCAACAAGGCCACAACTCCTAATCCTCAAATACTGCCACTCTCTAGAGACTGTGCATTCAAATATATGAGCCTAAAGGGCCATTCTTCTTCAAACCACCACACTTACCATTGAGATTCTGACAACAAAGATACAGACTCACTTTAGGTCTAACACAGGTACTACACAGCAGTGTTAGATTTAATAATCAAAAACATACTGTTCGTAAGAAGCACGTGACAGCAGATGAAGGAAGACAGCAGGTACTCTCATTGAGACTTAGAAGAGTTTAAATACAGCTACCTCTAAATGGTTCAAGTAAGGTAGGTCTGTATAGACTGGGAGGACCTAATACTGTCTTTATTTGCAGTTCTACCAAATGTCAGCATCATTTTCTCTTTTGAGAAATATACCTAGCAACCTTTTAAACATCTCTCAAAAACAGCAGGATTTGAGAAATATAAAGTACAGTCCTGTCCTTAAAAAAAAAAAAAAAAATATGAAACCAGCTGGTTGTCTTTACTTCCCAGACACTTACTATAAAAAGTTTCCAATTTATTAATGATAGTAAATAGATTGATTAATGATACCAATGTTTCTCTACCAGTCTGGAGGGCTGGGGATGACAGGTATCCTCGTTAGGATTACTACCACTGTGATAAAACACCATGACCAAAAACAAGGTGGGGAGGAAAGGGTTGATTTGGCTTATGCTTCCCCAGCAGTGCTCATCACTGAAGGAAGGAAGTCAGGACAGGAACTCAAGCAGGGCAGGAACCAGGGGCAGGGGCTGATGCAGAGGCCAAAGAGGAGTGCTGCTTACTGGCTTGTTCCTCATGGCTTGCTCAGCCTGCTTTCTTATAGAACCCAGGACCACCACTTCAGGGGTGGCCCCACGCACAATGTGCTGGGTCCTCCTCTTTCAGTCATTAATTAAGAAAATGCCATGCTGCTTGCAGCCAGATCTTATGGAGGCATTTTCTCAATTGAGGTTCCCATGTCCCAGATGAGGCTAGCCTGTGTCAAGCTGACACAAAACTATCCAGCTCAACAGATACAACCTAATTTTGTATAACAGGTCCAATTTATAAACAGATACAAGACTCTGACCAGTAAACTAACTTTAACAATTATTCTGCACGCACGCCAGTGCACACATGTAGAAGTCAGAGGACAATTGTGGGGGTCAGTCCTCTCACCCCACCGTGTGGGTCCTGATGTCGAACACTGAGCCATCTCGCCAGCCTGCTATTCACATTTGGTAAGTTTACATTTGTCTCCTCACTGAAGCACAGCTGGGCGTCCATGGGAAACTGACTTTTATTTACTCAAGAGAGCGACTGGTATATTTAGTTAATTTAATAATGCTGAAAAATGAAATACATTTTACTCTGTCTGAGCAAAGAAAAGCTTCACATTAAGAAGACTTCCTTTCTTCTCTATTTCCCGTCTTTACATTCTCCCCTCTCTATCATTTTACCCACAGCTTGGTACTGCAGCAGGTAAGCTTTCTTCCTGTTTCTATCTGTGTGATGACGTGGTAACCATCTACATCAGTCACTAAGACTGTAACAGTTCACTTCTAGGTAAGGGGCCTGGGGTTCGCACCCAGTACTTAGGGACTCAGAGCAGGCAGTGCAGGTCTGGAGCTCCGAGTGCTCTGCCTGTCCCAGTGGAATCTGTAACTACTACCCTGCAGCAGCCCTTATCCCCCTGGCCTGCTAGCCTCCTGCTTTCCTCCAGTGGGGCCTCCCCTTTATTCTTCCTTTGTGATGGAAAGTGGTCAGAGTTGAACCAGACCTTCAAAGGAATATCTGGATACAGACACATTCTCTTTCCATGAAATCACATTCAGCTCTTCCAAATTCTTAACCCAGACAGTTTCCAAAAACCTTCCCATCCAACAACCTTTCCCCAGCCAAGGGGAAATTGCTGAAGGAATAATGTTAATGAATCCATATCCCAAGCAACCCTGAAAATGTTGCTGAGCATTATGTACACAGGCATTAAGGACAAAGGACAGAGGTAGTGACCATCAGAAACCAGCAGACACTCACTAAGACTGTCTAACCCATCTAACTAACCTCATCGCAACTTTTTAGGGTTCCCCCAGAGAAGGTCCAGAGAAACCCGAGAGAACACAAAAATTAGATTCCATGATGAGAGCTGGGTGCTTAAAGATCCTTATGAACAAAACGGAAAATTGCACATCCAAAGACAGATGCTAGATGCTCAGAATGTGGCTTCGTGTTTATATCAAGTTTTAATTGCTCAATTTTTAAAGAGATTTTACCTTTAACTATGTGTGTGTGTGTATGTATGTATGTGCACTTGAGTGCAGATACCTGCAGATGCCAAAGGCACTGGATTCCCTGGAACTGGAGTTACAGGTGGTTGTGAGCCACCTGACCGGGGTGCTCGGAACCAAACACTGGCCCTCTACATGAACAGTACTCATTCTCACTCTGGGCCATCTCTCCAGCTCCTAAACTGCTTACTTGTTGACAATGAACCTGAAGTATCCATTGACTTTAAGGAACCACCCACACTGAGCACCCCTCCCTGAGACTGTTGCACATTTCAGTAGGTAGTGAGTTTAAATACCGTCATTTCGCTGCCGTGTCTCAGCTCTGCGCCTAAAGTCCCAGCTGGCTGCTGCTGCACCAGAATCAGGTGTGTTCTGAGACATCAGGGAGAAGAGCTTTCATCCAAGCCTGATGGGAATGGGAGCCTGCTGCCTCTACGTGCTGGGTAGAAAATGAGTGGGCTGTTAAAGAAAAAGTTCACAAGCATTATGTACTGTTTACCAAGAATGTTTTCATGTAGTTAAAGCAACCCTGAAGATAGTACCCGGGGGTTTATTCTAGACTCGGGGCTTGGGGTGTGCGAGTCCTTGGGCTAAGAAGCAGACAGAATCAAAAGCAGCAGGAACTAACATTCACATGCACTTTTCATTTTGCTTCTGCCCACCTTTACGCATAATGTTACTCATTAATAAAGACTCCACCCACTCTTGATCATTTGTAGTGAGGTTAGGGTTTTATGTTGGGGGGAGTGATGTTCTTATTTTTGTTGTTGTTTGTTTTGCTTTGCTTTTAAAGCAAAGTAGCTCTGTAGAAGTCTATGGCAATTTATAAAGGAACATTTTGCAACACTAGGTTTTCAAAGACTGAAACAGCTCACAAACAGATGGACCTACAACCTGAAGCTTTTAAACTCCAAATACTGTGCCCAATTTCCCAAAGCAAGGTGCCTGCTTGGGAGTCAGACCTCACACCCAGGTCCCTGAGCCTCTAGATTCCTGGGTAGGGACCAGCGGAGCCAGAGAGGGTACATCTCTGCATTCAGGGTGGACAGACTGAGAGTGACATGTGGCAGAGCAGCCAGGGGAAAAGGGAGAAGGCTACCAGGGCAGCGAGACTGGAAACAGGAGCAAAGAGCTCACACATCAAGCAGGTTACAGCAAAATACATCCGAAAGCTGGGTAAAGCTTTACCCACCAGAAGGGCACACGAGAGCTGCTCCAGCTAACATTCCATCTTTGCCCTGCATCAGGACTGGCGCAGATCTCTGTCATCCATCTTCTCCACCAGGCTAAGCCATTGTCTGTCCTTTATTAACTGTAAATCTTTCATTCACTAATTCATCCATGCATCTCACAGGCTAACTTGTGTTAGAGGCTAAGACAGCGGTGTGGAAGAAAAGCACGCCCCTCAAACTGCTGCCACTCAATACAGCGTAAGGCGGAAGATTTATGACTCCAAGTTTCACCTGCACCTCATGAGTGAAACCCATCTAGAGAAAACTGGAAAGGTCTCTGGTTCAAATGTCTTCAAATTAGGGATCGGTGTGAAGGGCAGGGAGCCACGTTTGTGCTCTCAGACGGTGTTGACGCCCAATAAAGGTGCACGTTACACAGCTACACTAAGACAGAGAAACTAGTACGATTTTAATACGATGATAATCTTTTTTTCTCGGGGGAGGGGGCCTGGAAGATGGCTCAGTTGCAGCAAGCATGAAGACCTGAGTTTTGGTTCCAGCACCCATGTCAAGACCTAGGTTCAGCAGCACCTGTAATCCCAGCACTGGGAGGCAAGGGGAACTCTGGGACTTCTGGCCAATCAGTCAGACCAAACCAGTGTGCTCTAGATTCAGTGCAAGACTGTCTCAAAGAAGTAAGGTGAGAGCTGGTAAGATGGATCAGTGGGTAGAGATGCTTGCCACCAAACCAGATATAATAGCCTGATTTCAATCTACTAAAGTGCATGGATCACAGAGAGGACTGACTTATCCTGCAAGTAGTCTACCAACGTCCATATATACACCATGACATGTGTGTGCCCACTTCGGTGGTAGTGTTGCAAACTTTAATTCCAGCACTTGGGAGACAACGGCATGCAGATCTCTATGAGTTGAAGGCCAACCTGATCTGCAGGATGAGTTCCAGGACAGCCAAGGCTACACAGAGAAACCCTGTCTCAAAAAAATTAAAAAACAAAAAAAAGTGAAGAGCAAACAAGCGAGATAGCACCTACACACACACAAAGTAACTGGGTAACTGTATTTCAAAACCAAAGTCTATAACTAAGCCAGTAGCCAAATATAGTTCCAGATCCGAGAACACTGTTAGAAGCTCCAGATTCTTGGTGGGTTAGGTGGCTGCAGACTGAAGAAATGTTTTAAAGGCAATGGTATGTCTTTATTCTAACTTGTACAAGTATATTCAAAGTGTACATCTTGGGAATTTTTCAGAATCCTATGTTCTGTCCAAAGGCAGATTTTCTTTGCCACAAAAAGCAAGACAGTAAATATTTTCTTTGCAGGTCATATGTCTATCTTGGCTACTTGACTCTTGGTTTGGGTTAAAACAATGGAACCACAGGCAACAAAACTCAAGGATGCTCAGGTGCCTTATAAAAACACAGTGCCATATTTGCATATAAGTTATGCAGATCCTTGAATTATTTTGAGATTTTATTTTTATTTCATGTGTAGGAGTGTCTTGCCTACATGTATGTAAGTGTACCACATATGAGCAGTGCCCATGGAGGCCAGAAGAAGGCATCAGACCTCCCTGGGACTGGAGTTAATGACAGTTGTGAGCTGCCATGTGGATGCTGGGAACTGAACCCCTGTCTTCCAGAAGAGCAGCCAGTGCTCTTAACCACTGAGTCTACAATGTAAATGTGATGTGCACAGCGGTTCTACATATTGTTTAGAAAATGATAAGAAAGGAATGTCTGCGTAAGGCCCTTGAATGAGCACCTGAGTGGCCATGCCTTGCCCCTGAGGAACTCTAACAGTCAGGCCCCATCCACAGAACACTGTAAAGCTGTGAAGGCTGGACCCAGCCTCTCCAGACTCAGGTGGCCAAACTCTGCCCTACAGAGTAAAAAGACTGAGCTCAATTCTGGGTCTTGAAATCCCACCAATCCCTAAGCTCACCCAAGCTCAGGACTTGAAATCCCACCAATCCCCACCCTGGAAAGCTCTGCTCCAAGAAACCCACCATCAGTGGTTCTCCACCTTCCTAATGTTATGACCCATTAATATAGTTCCTCCTTTAATATGTTGTGGTGAACCCCAATGAAAAGAAAATCATTTTCACTGCCGTAACTTTGCTACTGTTATGACTTTCAGTGTAAATGTCTGCGTTTTCTGACAGTCTTAGGTGACCCTGTGAAAGGGTTGTTCAACCCCAAGGAGTGACCCACAGGTTGAGAACCACTGCCCCACATGAAGTCTGCCTCCTGCTCAGTTCCCTGCTGCTCCTTGTCTGCAGAGTGCCAGCCACCCTCTTGTGTCTGTGCCAATAAATCTCTGGTGTGAGGTTTATTGTGCAGTGTGACATTGTGGTATTGGCTCCTGACTGCCAGGACACCTTCTCCCCTCAGAGCTGCAACACTTACAAACTGTACATTTTAGGACACACAATTGTTTTCTAAATATTTCTATTCCGTGGTTGGCAGAATCTATGAATATAGAACCTACGCACCCAAAAGACTGACTATATTTATCAAACAGATATCAGTTTGGAAATATTTGCCCTACCTAGATTCATGAAACTCATACCTCAAAGCATTAGTAAAATCTCCAAGCCGGGTGGTGGCGGCGGCGGCGGCGGCGCACGCCTTTAATTCCAGAGGCAGGCGGATCTCTGTGAGTTCGAGGCCAGCCTGG